TAGACTCATAAGCTGAGGAATTTAGGGGATGCCTGATTCCCTAATCCTACAGAGATTGATAAATTGTAATTCTTCATTTTATTTAAACATAAGGCAAAATAAAGCCACTTAAAATGTTGAGGGGGAGCAAGATTTCAGTTAGGTGTTTTTTTGTTTTGTTTTTTTGAGACAGAGTCTTGCTGTGTCACCCAGGCTGGAGTGCAGTGGTGTGATCTCTGCTCACTGCAACCTCCATCTCCTGAGTTCAAGAGATTCTTCTGCCTCAACCTCACAAGTAGCTGGGATTATAGGTGTATGCCACCATGCCCAGCCAATTTTCATATTTTTAGTAGAGATGGGATTTCACCGCATTGCCCAGGCTGGTCTTGAGCTCCTAACCTCAACTGATCCATCTGCCTTGGCTTCCCAAAGTACTGGGATTACAGATGTGAGCCACCACACCTGGCCCAGCTAGTTAAGTATTTTCCATGAGACTCCAGAAAAGGTTGTAAAGTTGTTTCATTCAGGGGTCTTTGAAAAAAAAAATAGCAGGTCATTCCTTTGCCAGTTGAATGTTCACAGTGACTTCTAAAGGTTTCCCTGTCTTTTCTTCTCAATCATGAGCCACTGGCCGGGCGCCGTGGCCCACGCCTGTAATCCCAGCACTTTGGGAGGCCGAGGCGGGTGAATCACGGGGTCAGGAGATCAAGACCATCCTGGCTAACACAATGAAACCCCATCTTTACAAAATACAAAAAAATTAGCCAGGCATGGTGGCATGTGCCTGTAATCCCAGCTACTCAGGAGCCTGAAGCAGGACAATCACTTGAACCTGGGAGGCAGAAGTTACAGTGAGCCGAGATCGGGCCACTGTACTTCAGCCTGGGAGGGAGACAGAACAAGACTCCGTCTCAAGAAAAAAAAAAAAAAACATCCACGTGGTTAGCGGGGACGAGGGGGAAGCAGTGAGCCACTGAAAGTGCTACTTGAGTTTTGCTCACTTCTGGCTCCAGAAAACCAGTATAAATATAAAGCTTACTCTACTTACAGCAGAGTCAGCCTGCGGTGCTAGTTACAAGTAATCTATTTTCCTTCCCTTTCATCCTTCAACTTCTTTTTATCATCTCCCTCAGGAAACATACCTTATGAAACATATGCGCAAACACAACCCTCCTGATCTTCAGCAACAAGTGCAGGCAGCAGCGGCGGCAGCAGCAGTGGCCCAGGCCCAGGCCCAGGCCCAGGCTCAGGCCCAGGCTCAGGCTCAGGCCCAGGCTCAGGCCCAGGCCCAGGCTCAGGCTCAGGCCCAGGCCCAGGCCCAGGCCCAGGCCTCCCAGGCATCACAGCAGCAGCAGCAGCAGCAGCAACAGCAGCCACCACCACACTTCCAATCTCCTGGGGCAGCCCCCCAGGGTGGAGGTGGTGGGGACAGCAACCCCAACCCTCCACCCCAGTGTTCCTTTGACCTGACTCCCTATAAGACAGCAGAGCATCATAAGGACATCTGTCTCACTGTCACCACCAGCACCATCCAGGTGGAGCACCTGGCCAGCTCTTAGAGATCCGTGCTGCCACCCACTGGGAAGAGGAAGAAGTCCTGGTTTCTTCTTTCTCCAACTCCTCTTGGTGGGAAAAGTCCTCTTCTTCCTTGACAGGCCTTGGCTTCATTTCCTTGGGCCTCAGGCACGGCTTTCCTCCACAAGATACCATCCTTTTTCTGAACTCTTCAAAAGGAACATCAGCCCTCCTGATTGCAAAGGAATACTGAGCGTATGGTGTCATCCAGCAGCCTCCCCTCCCAAGCAAAGCTTTTAAAATTGGGGGTTGGTGCTCAAGGGAAGGATTTGCTATGACCTCATAGAAACGTGTCCAGCGTGGTCACTTACCCTGTCCTTACCCTCCTTATCCTCAAAGTTTGGGCTGATAGAAGACTAGAGGCTGGTCCTCCCAGATTACAGAGAAAAGGGAGCCCCAAATGCAACCAGCCTCTTGTTCTCTTCTTGCCTGCAAAAGAACAGAGGTTTCTTATATGCCTCAGTCCCTGAGAGCCATTTCTTCCCCTACATAGTCTCACTTCACTTCCTATTGACTGCTGGTCGAAGGAGATTTTGGGGTAGGGGTTAGACCTCCTTTTACTTGAAGGGGGCAAGGGCTGAGATGTGGTCCCCAAGGGGCCAGAATTTCCCAAGTTGGTCACAGGTGGCTTAGAAGTGTGGGTTATGGTTTTACGGATTTCCTTGGAGCCTCTCTCCTCCTTCTCTGCCTACATAGACCCTACACTCTCAGTCTCCCCAGCCCAACCCCCAAGGAGCTGTGGGAGGCTTTGTGTTCTCTGTGAAACTCCAAAACAGGGATGTTGCAGAGAAGGGAGAGTTCAAGGCGAACACAAGGACTGGACTTAGCTCCCTAGGTGCCACGGTCAGATGCCGGACACGGATTTATATATAAATATATATATATATAAATATATTATACCCACTCATCACGGCCATCATTGTTGTAACCATTTCTGTGTTTATAAATGCATTATCTCTGAGAATTTTCATATTTGATGTTTTGTTTATTTTATTTTTGTCCTTTTTTTTCCCCCCCTCCACCCCTGTCATCTGGCCACAGCATTTTTCTTTTTGTCTTTCTTTTTTTAATCATGGCAGATTTCAGAGAAAAGGAAATTTAAAAAAAAAAATCATAAATCAGTTGTTATAAAGCAGTTTAAAAATCAAGAAAAAAAAAACAACTTATGTACAAACCAAGGGGTGTTTTTAGAACATTGTATAGAAATAAATTCATGTAAAAGGATCAGAGGCAGTGGAGCTACTGATGTGAGTGAGCATGCGGAAAAGGTCTTTGGGTAGATGTCCAAGAACAGTTCTGAGGATTTATACCAGAGTGTGTGTGATGAACGAGTGCTTGTGTGATAATGCCCCATGTGTGTGATTCTCCAGTCACGGAAGGGTACAGTTTCATTAGCTTTCAAGTGAAATTCTAGTTTATGAAGACTTCTACATACACATTCTGTCATGGGGATTGCATTGCCTAAATACGTGAGAGCAAAGTTTTGGTTATGTGTTAACAAACAGTGAAGCTCCCTATGGAAGAAAAGTAGAAGCCTCTTGAAAGGACCTACACTCCTGCCTGAGTCTGTGGAAGAAGGGCTTCCAGTTGGCTGTATGTCCATTATCTTGTGGAAATCATAACCAGTTAAGGGGTGCAAGATTGCTTTGTGCAGGAGAGCTGTAGTACTGTGGAGTAGAATGTGGTCAGGAAACATAGACTTCAGCCCCTTGCCTACCATCAACCAGTGTTGGCCAGGGTGATGCTTCAACTGTTAGTGAAGGGATTGGACTAAATAACTCAAGATATCTTTTTTTGAGAATTAAGAACCTTGCTTAAAGGCCGGGTGCCATGACTCACACCTGTAATCCCAGCACTTTGGGAGGCCAAGGCAGGCAGATGACAAGTTCAGGAGTTCAAGACCAAACCACATCTCTACTAAAAATACAAAAATTAGCTAGGCGTGGTAGCTCACTCCTGTAGTCCCAGCTACTCGGGAGGCTGGGGCAGAAGAATCACTGGAACCTGGGAGGCAGAGGTTGCAGTGAGCTGGGATAGCACCACTGCACTCCAGCTTGGGCCACAGAGCGAGGTTCTGTCTCAGTTGTGACCAAGCTCTCACGTCCAAGAATTGGTGGTTCTCTGGAAATGCTGGCCAACAGTACTTACCTAGTTAGGCTGGGATAGTTAAAATAAGTGCCTACTTATTTTAATGCTAAACATCCTCTGTGGGCACTTAAGATGGTGTCTCAATATGTTGTGTGATACCAATTAATGTGTCACATATGACCAAATATGCCAGTGTTTCTTAGCTCCCTATTTTCTGCTTTTTGCTCCCACTATCATCAACTCTTGAAAGGCCTTAATGGCCCTAACTTCATCACCAATATTAGAACCAGAATCTACTCTTTTTATGGATACACTCACATGCACTCACTGCAACAACCCAGGAGGCAGTTAGTATTCTTACTGTATAGTAAAACAGGCACAGAGATTAAATTACCGAAAAGCATGACTCAGAAGTCTTCTGGATTCTATTGCTGTATCTTTACCTGTACACTGGTAAACCTGGGTTTAGGGGCTACAGATCATTTGAGCCCTGATCCCCCTACCACTCAGCCCCTGACCCCCTCCTCCAGCCTGCTCTTACTGTCCAGATAATGTTCTAAATACATCCCCGCAGCCATCTCGAAGCAAAACAAAGTAACTTGCAATCCGCCCTGGGTTGGAAGTTGCTCTTCTTCACATGCATGGTAGAAATCATATAGCTCAAAGTCTGTCTTATTAAAAACTTGTCATAAGACATTGATAATTCTTACAAGGATGGATATGAAAGGTGTGAGAGAGGGCAGTTATCTCTTAAGATACTATCTTACTAACACCACTATTACGTTATGGCCCTTGAGTTCTGTTTGCCTAGTGTGTTGGCAGCCTCTCATGCCCTTGACTGCTTTCCATTCTAATGAAAACCATAGAGGTCATAGCTGACTAGAGTGGTGGCTGGCAACTAACTACTAGCCCAGTAGTAATACTGCTCCGTACCTCAATCCCTTTAGAATCATGATGCTAACATCACATATAAACAAAAGCAAAACAAAAACATGAGATTTCCCCCTTAGGAGAGTAGCAAGAGGGGCCAGGCGCAATGGCTCTCGCCTGTAATCCCAGGACTTTGGGAGACCAAGGTAGGCGGATCACCTGATGTCGGGAGTTAAAGACCAGCCTGACCAAGGTTTACTTGGGATTACTTAGTGCCTGTAATCCCAACCACTCGGGAGGCTGAGGCAGGAGAATCGCTTGCACCCAGGAGGCGAAGGTTGCAGTAAGCTGAAATCGCATGCCATTGCACTCCAGCTTGGGCGACAAGAGCGAAACTCTGTCTCAAAAGCAAGAGGGCAAGGCTGAAAGTAATATTTTGTATGTGAAAGTGTATTCGAGCATAAAGGACAGGAGCTCTGAACAAAGGGTGTGCAGAATCATAGCTTTATTGAGTCATTCTTTGTATTTATAAGTAGAAAGTTGATAATCTTTCTCAAGTTAAAAAAATGATGCTGGGGGAGACGGTGTTTGTGTGAGTTGAAAGAAATGAAGAGGGTTTAAATCTCTCAAGGCCTGATACTCCTCAACTTCCTTAAGAAACCAGATGGCTTGAAAAAAGTCATATTCTACAAAAGAGGGAAAAAAATGTTGGATCTTCCAGTTGCTGAGAAGGGATGTTAACACAATACAATCCTAAAGAGAACGGTTACCCCCGCACCGATTACCACGCTTTCCCGTTTTGGAGGGAAAAAAGTTTGCCAGAGAATGCAAAATGGCGACCTCCAGTGACGTCATACCTGCCGCGGTCGGGTCCTGGGGTCTCTGTAAGGGCGGAAGCGGGCTACAGCCGCCTCGCTATAGGCAGTCGTGGCTACCATGCAAAAGGAAAAGTTTCAGCGTCGGGCGGATGTGTACCGGCGGTAATTGGTAAGGGCGGAAGTTTCCCTTTTAAGGGCGGAAAAGCTTTAACCCCAAAATGGCTTCGGCCCCTGTCGCGTTACAGTCACTTCCGGGGCAGATCGGAAGTTGCTTTGTTTTGCTTCGAGATGGCTGCAGGGATGTATTTGGAACATTATCTGGACAGTAAGAGCAGGCTGGAGGCGGGGGTCGGGGCCGTAGAGTGGTGGGGGGATCAGGGCTGAGAGGATCTGTAACCCTTAAGTCCCAGTGATGAGAAGGCCACAATTGTGAAGGGGTTCTGTGACAGGAAATATTGGAGGGTGCGGAGAAAGAGGGGGCGGGGCAGCAGGATCAAGGCCCTGCTGTTGGGTGTAGATGAGGGAGGGGTTGCGGGGTGGGGGTTAGGGATGTGTCTTGAAGGGCTAGGATGCTTGGCCGGGAGGATAATTGCGCCCCCATTCTCCAGGATCTCAAGCCTCGGTAGATTTTTTTTCCCATAGTCGTTCAGAATTGGCATCACCCACTGCCATTTGGAGCAGCAGTAAAGGCCTCTCCTCCACTCCATTCTTACTCAGAAGTGGCTTCTCATGGGGTTGAGAGTGGTGGTGGTGAGTGACCACTGTCAGATGATGAACTGGAACGCTTCTTTTCAAGGAGTAAAGATCTAATTCCCATCAAATGAAAATCTGGTGTTTATGCCATTTGTGTAAACCACCCCTGCACAAAGCCTACTGCCCTGTGCACTTACATTTGTTTTAGGGTCTGGAGTCATTTATTCAACAAATATTTATTGAGGTCCTGCTGTGAGTCAGCCATAATGTCAGGCACTGGGGTTAGAAAAATGAATAAGACGAGGCCCCTGACCTCAAGAAACTCATAATCTAGTAGGAAACAGATTCTGCAAATAATTATAAAACACTGTGACAAGTGAGATAATGGAAATACATTAAAAAGGACAGTTGGTAGGCAACGCTGGAGAAAAAGGGGGTAATTACCTGGGGATGTAGGAAAAGCTTGACAGAGGAGGTGATGTTTGAATAGGGTCTTGAAAGTTATTTGCCAGTGAGGAGAGAAAAAAAGAAATTCCAGGTTGGGGAAAGCATCAGCAAAGGTAGTGTGATGGGTTTGTGGCAGTGTCAAGGGTGTTTGATATTTATGACCCATAGGTCAGCATATTTGATTTTTTTTTTTTTTTTTTTTTTGAGATGGAGTTTCGCTCTTGTTACCCAGGCTGGAGTGCAGTGGCGCGATCTCGGCTCACCACAACCTCCACCTCCTGGGTTCAGGCAATTCTCCTGCCTCAGCCTGCTGAGTAGCTGGGATTACAGGCACACGCCACCATGCCCAGCTAATTTTTTGTATTTTTAATAGAGGCGGGGTTTCACCATGTTGACCAGGATGGTCTCGATCTCTTGACCTCGTGATCCACCCGCCTCGGCCTCCCAAAGTGCTGGGATTACAGGCCTGAGCCACCGCGCCCGGCCGTATTTGTTATTTATGACTCTAAGGTAAGAGATTGAGAACCAAGACTGGAGAACGAGGCTGAGGCTAGATGGGACAGAGTCTTAAGCCAAACTAAAAAGTTTGCATTTTAAAGTAGAGTGATTTTTATAAAGAAAAATGATTGATATATGGTAAACTGGAGCATGATAATGGTAACAGAGATCAATTAGTGATAACATTCCAGGACAGGGATAAGAACCTGATTTTAGGGAGATACAGAAGTATTTAGGAGTTAAATATGAAAGGACTGATTGGTTGAGAGAGAAGAAAGAATCTAAGGTGGCTTCTTCCTGCTTAGAAAGTTAGGTGGACAGGCTGGGCACAGTAGCTCATGCCTGTAATCCCAGCACTTTGGAAGACTGAGGTGGGCAGATCACTGGAGGTCAGGAGTTCAAGACCAGCCTAGCCAACATGGTGAAACCCAGTCTGTACTAAAAAAAAAAAAAATTAGCTGGGCATGGTGGCATGTGACTATAATCCCAGCTACGTGGGAGGCTAAGTCAGGAGAATCACTTGAACCCAGAAGGTTGCACTGAGCCAAGGTCATACCACTTCACTCCAGCCTGGGCCACAGAGAGAGACTCCATGTCCCTCTCAAAAAAAAAAAAAAAAAAACGCTGAAGGCTGGGCATGGTGGCTCACGCCTGTAATCCCAACACTTTGGGAGGCTGAGGCGGGTGAATCACCTGAGGTCAGGAGTTCCAGACCAGTCTGGCTAACATGGTGAAACCCCATCTCTACTAAAAATTATCTGTGCATGGTGGCAGGTGCCTGTAATCCCAGCTACTAGGGAGGCTGAGGCATGAGAATCCCTTGAACCCGAGTTCACACCATTGCACTCCAGCCTCAGTGACAAGAGCGACACTGCACCTTGAAAGAAAAAGTTACTCAGAGAGGAAAAGATCATGCCAACTGCTGCAGAATTATTTTTTAGGATAGGCCTAATAACACCATTTGATTTGGTAAGTAACCAGTGACTTAAAGTAATCTCAGTGAACTGGTGGTAGCAGACCTGAGGTTGTTGGTTAAAACAGTAGAGGCATTTTAATTTTTTTAATTCATTTTTGTTTGTTTGTTTGTTTCTTGAGATGGAGTCTCACTTTGTTGCCCAGGCTGTAGTACAATGGCATGATCTTGGCTCACTGCAACGTCCGTCTCCCGGATTCAAGCGATTCTCCTGCCTCAGCCTCCAGAGTAGCTGAGATTACAGGTGCCTTCCATCATGCCTGGGTAATTTTTGTAATTTTTTTTTTTTTTAAAAGACGGGGTTTCACCATGTTGGTCAGGCATGTCTTGAACTCCCGACCTCAGGTGATTTGCCCGCCTTGGCCTCCAAAGTGCTTGGATTACAGGCAGGAGCCACTGCACCCAGCCTAATTTATGTGTTTTTAATAGAGATGGAGTTTTACTATGTTGGCCAGTCTGGTCTCAAACTCCAGACCTCAGGTGATCCACCCACCTTGGCCTCCCAAAGTGCTGGGGTTACAGGCGTTAGTCACCACGCCAGGCCTTTTATTTTATATATATATATAATTTATATGTATTATGTATAATATATAATTTTTATAGAGACAGAGTCTGGACGTGTTGCCCAGGCTGGTCCCAAACTCCTGAAATCAAGTCATCTGCCTGCCTTGGCCTCGCAGAGTACTGGGATTACAAGCATGAGCCACTGTGCCCAGCCAGTAGAGGCATTTTTAAAGTTTTAGATGGAGTCTTGGGAAGAGATTTTTTTTGTACTGGGAGGACAGATATTCATGCATTTATTCAAGTATTTACTGAGTACCTGCCCTATGCCAGTCATAATTCTAAACACTAGGGAAACAGGAGAGAATAAGATAGCCATATTCGGCCTGGGGAGACATACCAAATAACTAATTACACAATTATTATTATTTTTCTTTTTTTGTTTTTTGAGACAGTCTTACTCTTTCACCCAGGCTGCAGCCTCCCCCTCCCTGGTTCAAGCCATTTTCCTGCCTCAGTCTCTCAAGTAGCTGGAACTACAGGCCCGGGGGCCACCACGCCCATCTAATTTTTGTGTTGTTTTGTTTTTGAGATAGTCTCTCTCTGTCACCCAGGCTGGAGTGCAATGGTGTGATATCAGCTCACTGCAACCTCTACCTCTTGGATTTAAGCAATTCTCATGCCTCAGCCTCCCAAGTAGCTGGGATTACAGGTTTCACCATGTTGGCCAGTCTGGTCTTGAACTCAAATGATCTGCCCGCCTTGGCCTCCCAAAGTGCTGGGATTATAGGCGTGAGCCACTGTGCCTGGCCCTAATTTTTGTAATTTTAGTAGAGAGCCATGTTGCCTAGACTGGTCTCAAACTCGTGGCCTTGAGCAACCCACCCGCCTCCCAGAGTGCTGGTGTGGGCCACCGTGCCCAGCCAACTGATTATACATTTATTTCATTACAGTTGGATACGTGCTGTAAAAAGGTGGATAGAATACCTTGACATACATCAGAGTCTAGGAAAGTTGAGTTTGAGCTGAACTTTGGAAGAATGAACAGGAATTTAATAGGCCGAGAGGGCTGGGGTGGACAGGATGTGGAAAAGCAAGGAGTGCATTCCAAGGAGAGGAAACAGCTTGTGGAAAGCCAGATGGCAGGAGGAACACAGGCCAGTTTGAGACAGTGAGAGGAGCACAAAGGGAGACAGACACTGGCATGAGTTAAGGCTGGTATGAGGTAGGCAAGGGCCAGTAAGTGCAGACCATCTTAAGAGCAATAGGAAATTACCAGAAGATTATAAGCTAGAAGTGACTTGATTAGGTTTGCATTTTTTATTTTTGTGGGTTTTTTTTGGTTTTTGTTTTTTTGAGTCAGTGTCTTGTTCTGTCACCTGGGCTAGAGTGCATTGGCATGATCTTGACTCACTGCAACCGCTGCCTCCTGGGGTCAAGGGGTTCTTGTACCTCAGCCTCCCAAGTAGCTGGGATTACATGCATGTGCACCATGCCTGACTAATTTTCTGTATTTTTAGTAGAGATGGGGTTTCACCATGTTGCCCAGGCTAGTCTTGAACTCCTCAGCTCAGCTGATCCTCCCAGCCGGGACTCCCAGTGTGCTGGGATTACAGGCATGAGCCACCACACCTGGGCAGATTTGCAGTTTTTAAAAAGGACATTCTGGCTACTATATGGAAGTAGATTGGAAGCGTTATATGCATAATAGTGGATGCCAGAGACTATTTGTAATTTGAGGACAAAGAGCTTGGAGGCAGAGATTGAAAATAAAGGAAAGGGGCCAGGCTGAGTGGCTCATGCCTGTAATCCCAGCACTTTGGGAGGCTGAGGCATGTGGATCACCGGAAGCCAGGAGTTCGAGACCAGCCTGGCCAAAATGGTGAAACTCTGTCTCTACAAAAAATACAAAGATTAGTTAGATGTGGTGGCACATGCCTCTGGTCCCAGCTACTCTGGAGGCTGAGGGAGGAGAATCCCTTGAACCCGGAGGTGGAGTTTGCAGTGAGCTGAGATCGTGCCACTGCGCTCCAGCCTGGGCAACACAGCAAGACTCCATCTCAAATAACAAAAAAA